GCCTCTAGACTAATTAATTAATTGAAATTAATTAATTAAACAAACATTAAAGTTTACACCTTAGCGCCATGGGGCCACAGTGACATAGCGCCTTAGTACCTTAGCAGCAGGCAGCTCCCATAACCATCCCAATAGTGCACTCTGCACTAATAAATGGACGTAGTGCGGGAAAGTTTCAATTCACTGAAGAAATGAAAGAAAGTTAAAATTGACTCGCCAATCAACAAGCCACTATTTTACGATACCTTTGATCGGCCGAAACGAAAATTTTCCCGGCTAATCGTTGAGTATCTTTCTTGTTTACATCCGAAATGACTTCCCGAATTTCTATGGCTCTCTGAAGTAAATTGAAATGAAAGTTTCCCTCGCAAGTACGATCCAGAGAAGTATGGCCGATGCAACAATGGCCGTGTAAGAACACACCAAAGTACACCAGAAGCTGCTGTTCACTGATTGGGCAGAATAATACAAAGGATTTTTCTGCCCAATCAGGAGGCAGCATTGGCAGAGCCGTTTGGAAATGGTCTGGTAAGAGTCGGTTACCAGGGGCTCTTCCCACCTTACTCGTGAACCTTCGACGGTTCATTTTTTTGCCCGATTTTATTTAATTATTTCCTCCCGCCCCAACTAACTGCCCCTGGGTCTCCGAGGATGAAAATTAATTAGCTTAAATGGATTTGGCATGCTTAAATATTCTATCCTGCAGTCCACTTAACTATTGCAAGCGGGTCTTTTAATGAGTGATGGATTGCCAATAGCAGAAAGTCGAAACAAAGTGAAAACACTGGTAAAAGAAATCTTCGCTTTGGCAGGAAATATCTCTGACGGAACTTATAATTGGAATTCCCGTAACCTTTTTTTATCTAAACTATACATATTGACAAAATTACTGAAGACTATCGTAAACATGTTTTACTTCGGAAATAAACGGCCGTTCTTTTGTAAAACAACCCACTCTGGTCTCTGCCGTGGGATATAGTAAATTCCACGGTTGGGAATGAAAGCGTGACTTGCAAACAAAATAAACAATGAAACTTAAGATTTCTTTACCAAATTTAACCTGTATTGCCGGTCCTGAAATAACTTTTTGCAACGGCGCCTGATAGGTTACGGAAAACGCAATTGTTTTCACCCTTAATTCAGTAAATATCTCCTTCAGCAGCCAGTTACCTTAAATTAATTATTGAACGGCCGCGTAGTAAAATGTTTCTGACTTCCTGTTTCTTCTTGGTGTGAAATCGACATCTCGTCACAAATGTCTGGCACTCGCAGCCCCAAAACATACTCGGATTAAATAAAGTTGCTTTGGCGTTAAGATTGAACTGTTTCACCGTTATATTACAGGTGCTAGCAAACAATTTGCTTATAGGTACTAAGAACTCATAATATAAGGACTTCAATGCCTGTACCCGCTTGCCCTCAGACCAACATGCAGAAGTCCACTGCTTACTTTTCGTCATGTTTTAGGTTAAATCGGGGTTTTTCAGCCGGGCCTTAAAAACCACTCGAAAAATAACCCAAGCTGATTTTAATACATGTTTTACAACAACATAAAAGTGTTAAAAAGACGAAGTTTCAAGGAATTTGGAGTTATGGCACATGTCGAAAAGTACCTCTGAATTTTATTCCTAAATTAGGAATTCAACCTAGTAACTGAACGGGATTTTTTCAAAAATTGTGTGTTTATTCTCGTGGCACCCAAGTCAAGTTCTAACCTGTTTTGGATAGCCGAATACTTTTTCTTTCAAGAAAAAGTACCGATAAGTTTTGGTTCTCCTTTACACGCGAATGCAAATTAAGTTTAGATTAGCGCATTTTAAGCCTTTGCGATCGGCCATTTTGGGGACTGTCGAGGCAAAAATCGTTTTCCTCGATTTTCTCGAATTTAAAGTGCTTCGAGCTCCAAAAAACTATATCACGTTTCATATCTACCTAAGGGCTATTTGTGGACGAAAAGAGAGAAAAATCGATTTTTCGACTTCTGCCACCAAATTCAAATTTTACTTGGATTTTGGTGACA